TCGGCGCCACAGGACCCCAACTCAACCATCGTGAGGCACGCTACCTGCAGATTCGGCAGCTTGTCTTCAGCGTTGAGGGCCCTTTTGAAAAGAGAGAGATCAGTCTCTAGCTCGGGTATCACGACACGTACAAAGGCTGGCATCATGTCTGAGCCGCAGTGGAATGGTTCATCACCGCACTGATAGGGTCTGGTTGCCTTCCATTGTCCAACCTTTTGGGATCCAACCAAGGTCTGATGCGTGCATCGAGACACAGAGATGGGACTCGGCACGTTTAGGACCAGGTGCATATTCGATGCGACGAGACTTAGAGTCAGGATCGGCTTCATTATCAACATAGCTGTCTGGACGCGGCCGCTTTTTTGCTGGAACGAATGGAAGCAGCTTATTCACCTCATAAGGTGTGAATGAAATGAAGCAGGGTGGAAGAAAATCTGAAATCTCTTGCTATTTCGACTCAGATGCTTTGGCTTACCATGTCGGGTTTATGATCGAGCGGGCTAAAGCTGGAGTTCAGATGCCCTTAATGAGACGACTCAACAGACCGAAGCATCGTGTTTGGGACACTGTTTCTCAGTTAGGGACCCATGACGCTCGAATATCCAGCACTGTGCTAGTAGTCCACGCAGCATCGACGCGCTGAATATGGAGCCTTCCCCGGGCCAAATGTATTGATCTTCTGGATGCGGCCCCAGGTATCGTTGGATCCTCTAAATCGCCAAGTCCTGGAGCCGCTGTAGTCGACTGCTCAGGCATGTGGTCTGGCGGTGGCACCATGCGAGCAGGATTGTAAGTGATGTGAAAACCTTGACCAGGCCTCCGTACTCTCGGAATGTTAGTTCATCCAGGCCGAAGGGATTCCTCCGACTAAACACCCGAGTACAGATCCTTCAGAACCCAAGTATTTGGCCAGGCTGACCAGCTAGCCTCTTTGACCTCGGAAGACAAGGAAAGGAGCTTGAAGATAGGTGTATATTATGGATCGAGCTAATGAGCATGGAAGAGCTGCTGGGCACTTCTTCTGTCTATATAGGCCGGCAGCCTCTTCCATGGAAGGTTCAGGATAATCAGGATATTGGTTTGCCCAATATCCTGAAACAGGCTCGCCTACGAGAGGCGAGAGATAACAAATTGACCAATCACACGGGCGGCACGGGAGGAGGAAAATGTCCTCATTTCGTGGCAGCGACCGAAAGAGATCAGTTCTGGACGTCCTTGAGTTTCGGAATAAGGGGACTATTGTCAGGCGGATATTAAGTAAATGGAACTTATCGTCACCTTCTGGATGGTGGTCTGGTGGGAATCCGCGCTCATTTAGATAGCCGCTCCCAAGTTCGACGTCGTCCTGGGCATTGTAGTCCTTCAGTGCAAACAAGCTGATGTACGTCGCGTTGTTGCAGGACAGTGCCTGATAATAACAGAGTCCCAGGGCCATTCTTGTATAATTCTGCAAAGAGACGCGCTCCTGACGAGAGGATTGACAGCGAGACGACCCGTAGGTGGATGGAGCCAGCGATCCATCACGTACGGCTCAGGGGCAGGGGGTGCAGGGCTCCTGAGGATGAGTGTGATGGACTTGTATGACCGGACCTTGGTGCAACCCGCTTCATCTCTGGTCGCCCTGCGGAGCTTATATCCTTCTTCGTTGTGGTGTCTAGAGAGTCTGTTTAGACCCTCAATTCGCCCCCAAGTTTCCTTCGATCCCAGATATATGTTTCGGACTGGAGTTACCTGTTCACCGCCAAGTACTCACGACCTCCTGCCACCCGAGCAATACTTCAGTTCCGCTCAGCGGTAAATTAGTATGACATGTACGGCCTTTGAAGTGATACGGCCTTGAAACTTGACATATTGAGTAGATAACTTCAAAGCTCCGTGACGCAAAGACATTTCCGAAGTTGATTTTGAGCACATTGATCGGAGAAGGGTTCCCGAACGTGATAGCAAGTAACAAGTTTACATCCTTCACCTTCACCTGGTAAGAGGAGCAGTCTGTAAAGGGGGCGCTCCATGAAGCCTGCCGTTGTGCTTTCCATACACCCCATACTTCGGTGGAGATCGTGTATTGGTCAGAACGCAACCCCAAATGAGCTGTCTCCCTCCGGGCTTCGATTGTGCCCCCCTTAGCTACCTTACACATAGCGGCGTATGGTTTTCCGCGCACTCGAGCTCCATATATGGCTGCATGAATCCGTACTCGTTAATTCTAAAAATCTTGGTAACAACGGCATTTATCAGGGAGATGATCCTGCGGAAAGGGCAGCTGGAGCGATGCGGAAGACGTATAGGATTTCCCTTGTCTGTCGAGATACTTTGCTCGCCTTCTTCTCGATATAGCATGTTCCCCGTAGTAGTTGCGCCGCGACGCCTGCCATCCCCATAAAGCCATGATCACTCAGTGTGTCCTACAGGAACAACTAGCAAAGTTTCTCCTCGCAAGCAGTCCAGGGACGCTGAATTAGATAGTCCCATGGCTGGTAGCTTTTTTAAACCTTCGATCAAAGAGCAAGAGAATCGATGGACTGGGGGCTGGCACTTCAATCTTTCTGTGGTGATCCTGGATAGCAACTCGGCCTGATCGGGTTGAATGTCTCGTAGGCATGGAATTAAGAAATGAATAAGCAAGGTAAAGATATAATCTACTAAAGCTTGCTGCGAAAAACCAGTCTCTCCGTTTGATGATTCCGTAAGTAGTCATAGCAGTTGTAACATCTACCCTTAGCCACATCGGCCATAGCTGACCACACACCATCAAATCCGTACGGCCTAATAACGCGAGCAGTGAGGCAATTTGGCTGCTGAAAGTGTGTGGCAGGGCAATGCCGTCAGTCGCTGGGATCAGGGCATCCTACCCTTGAATGCGCTGTTGCCTGGTGCGGTAATAGGAGGAGCTATGGTTCGTTGTGACAACTTCAGCCGTTGGTGGGAACATTGAAGGTATGCACTAGATACTGTTGTCAATGTTGTGTAGGCAGCCTTATTGTTACGGACTGGAAAGGCTGTGTTGCCTTGTACCACCATCCAGAGGCAGAATGAACTCAACGGACCGCAGCTGTAGGAGTCGCCTTGGTCCGAAATGGGTGGGCAAGCCGATGTGAAGTGATGGCGTATTCGTGGCGGACCAGAGACTGTCGAAATGGCTTACCACGAGAGCACGAAACCTGGCTTACTTTGCGGTTGTAGTCTCATGTGATAATCTTATTCGCCCTGCTATCAGGAGCAGGGGCCTAACCTGGCTTCTGACGTGGTTTGAGCCGCGTTAATGTTGCTTGGAATACCGAGCTCCCACCTGCTTTTTATTAGACAGCTTGTCCAATGGTCCAGGCTGCATTGGAGGCTGCAGCATTGGATCTCCGATGAAAACAGCTGGGGTCTCTGGAAAATGGGACAATAATACCATGACCATACATTCTGTCATGTGCTGTTTCGTCCACGGAGCATATTCTTGGTGGAGCGTGAACGAGTTTGGCCACTTCCTCCAGGGTGAGCACAGGGTGTACCAGCCAAGAAATGTTTCTGGAAACGACTTCGATCAGGAGTTTCTTCCCTTCCGCTTTTGCCCTTCTCGCGAACGAAGTTGGTCATTCTCAGCGTTGTACCGGTGCTCCCGAGGATGAGGCTTCGGCTTCATCATTCCCTGGAAGATTCACGCCGCACGTCCTCTTGTATCATCGGGTTCGGGTCTTCCATGGAGCAGGGGCACTTGCTTGTGAGTCGACATGCTCCGGCATGGTAGGCGGGCGGTGGTGAGGCCGGTCAGTCGCTGTCAGGACGCCAGACTCCTGTGTGCTTCTAGCTCGTAAGTCATCTCGTATCGTTGTTTGCAATTGGTCTCTTCTGGGTTGAGCAAGATCTTCACCCTGCATCTGATACCCTTCGTCGTCTCAGCTCAATCTGACCTCGGGAGGCCAACCCCGCGTTCGTACGCCATGTTGGTGCCCTCAATCTCTTTGAATATTATCCACGCGAAGCGGTTGAAGGACAGATTGAGGTGGAATTTCAGCATCTCGTGTGCGATCATCTCCTGTACGATGGGAGAGAGAAATGCTGGCATACTGCCCTTGATGACGATTTAATATCACCCACTTATTCAGTGTTGAGAATGATTGATGGTTGTGATGAGTCAATCACATGTACAAAGTACCAATCACACATTCTTGTCTGGCCTGGGCTGGAATTACGCCCAATCATTTGCTGAATGTTGCATGGGGCGTGCTGCCACCCCATGACGACGCCAGTGTGATACTGGCCTTGTAGATTGAGTCCTATTGTACTCGTATTAACATTGCCTCCACATCAGATGTCTCTGAGTTGAATGCTTTAATGGCAATTTGTCGGGCCCTTGGCTTATCCATTGATTATGGTAGCTGTCTTGTACCCAGCCACCTTTAGCTCCGACACAAGGACCCTGTATGTAGATAATTAGAAAACTTGACTTGGTTTTGGGGGGTTTCCGCTCTCCTACTGAAGTAAATCGGGCATGGGGCGAGCCAATTCAGTGGGGGGCTGTTGAAATTGACGAATATATAAAGGAATACGGGCTGGAACTTACTGTTGGATGTATGGGAGGTCCACGAGGACGACCACCCTCTTCTTCTTAAGTCTGAAGCCCTTGTACAGGAAGTCCACGATTCTAGAGGTTGTTCCCTTTTCCCACCCGGATGAGACAGCTGAGGAGGATTAGCGGCTGCTCCGGCCATGAATGGTGGTTTTCGCCGGTATATCGACGTCCCTGCGCAGTTTCTCTACCAGGAGCCATTGTCGGTCCACGGCATAATGGGAGATTGCCGCTCTGCAGGTTATGTACCACTCCTTCCAGGCCGAATCAAGTCGATCTGAGATTGTCCGGGGAAATTCCACCTGCATTCTAAGGCCACCCTGAACGAGTCCAGCATCTGGTACGCTCTGGACCGTGACTTCACATCCCTTCCGTCACGTTGTCCATGTTCTGCAGGCGGAACCCTGTTGGTCGAGACGTTGTTTGGGACCAGTGACGCGGCTCAACGCCCCTTTCCAATCCTGAGATAGTCCTCTTCCGCATGATCGCCGCCGACTACGGCCACGATACCCTCCCTGCCCTCGGGCTTGCCCGACAGCACACAGGGCGGCGCGCGGGTGTACGCCTCTCCCATATACACCGTATATGTGCACCACAGCTGTAATCCGTCCCATCCCTTGGACATCAGATTATATGTGGATATGATGATAATATTCTTGTCATACCTCTGCGCGGCCTCTCCGAGCTCCGTGAGTCTCGTGGCCCGCTTTTGTACATTGCTTTCCTCTTTGCTGTCAACCAGGACAATCGTAGCCTCGTCGCCATGTCTATGTTCATAATGAACTGTTCTCCCTCTCGCGGTTTTCGTCCTCGCGCAAGTCCAAGTCCACCATCTGGCCATCCCCTGACTCGGCGACCTCGCTCGTGTCCCGTTAGCAGCAACCGGCAAGTTTCCATTCGCCGTGACGACGGCTTCGTCCTTGTCTACTACGACGGGGTCGCCGCCCCCTTCCGGTGATCTCGTGATCTGTGGTAGTCCCTTCATCTGGAAGTGGCCGGGGTCCATCCGGTACGTCAACACCCGGCTACGTGACCGCGAACCATGTTGATCAACCTGTTGGGCAAGTATCGATCAAGGCTCGAAGTGATGCCTCAGAGGTTGCTGGGTTCTGGCTCTACCGCTACCACTCGACCTCGAAGACGAGCATGAAGAGAGAGAGCCGCGTTACAACTAAACTGGACCCCTTATTCATACAGCCGATGTTGCATTTCAGTCTTGAGTTTTTCGAATCGTCCTTGGCACGCTTCGATCTCTGGGCACATGTGACATTCTGGGTCTTGGGTGCGGTGAAATTGGATCCTCGCTCTATCAGCGAGGCCTGTAGTTCGGAACAGAGTTAATCTTGTTGTCCAGCCAGAGACGCACATCCACCGGCTAAGACCAAAGTCAAGTTTCCACCGTCATCGCCCGTCAAGTCATCAAAAGCATCCTCCGTCGGGACCATGAAGAGCTGAGGCACACGGCGGGCCATTGGCGATCGTTCTCGCAACTTGGCGTAGTGACATTGTATGCTTTATAGATATCCTGCTTGGCAACTGGCGTCGCCGAGAACGCAAAGCCTCTCCACGCAATTCGATCTATGATCTGAAGACAAAATAGGCCTCCCAGCAGCGCCGGGCAGTTGTTGGAAGTGCTGAGAACGACCAGCTTTGGGGAATAAGCACCGGGGGAGAGCTGTTATCCAAGTCTGGCCCCGCGGAACAGGCTTCAAGAAATGTTTCTCCGCCACCTTGGGCCGTTTCTGATCTTCTAGACACCGCGGCCCAGGGAGGAGAAACTAGCTTGGGAGGAAACGGAAGCAGACAATGCTGGATGTTCCAGAGTAGGCTTGGGGAAAGATTCGACATGCTGTTGGAGGTGAGCTTCCCTAGTATTGGTGAACCAGGTGTGATGCGCTGGATAGGCGGCAAGACGACGGGACCAGCTGGTTATATTCAACAAATTTGGCACACCCGAGGGTCCAGTCTCAAGCCTCGATGAGTTGGAACTGCGTGCGGGATGAATTGAAACGCACCTCGGCTTGATTTTTCCGTACGTGGGACTTGAATGGGGACCATGCCTCTCGGCCGCAGGTTCAGGAGTGACAGACTGGGCTCCCTGGCATGGTAGCTCCCTTTCCTTGCCTTGATCAACGTTGATGGATGTGTTGAGCTTCGCGTTCCTGGTCCCCGATATCACCAATGGTGTTCCTTTGAACTCGCCACGCTTGGAAAGAAGGCTCAATGGGTTAAGGCTGAGCTCCAAGGAGAGAATCGCGGCAAGTTGGGTGGAACAGTCATCTGAGAGAGCCAGGTCACAGCTGCATCTGCTTTATCAGTATCATCCCTCTAGATCCTCTTACTTTCCCTCTAGGGCTTAGAAGAAGGATATTGCTGCTGGGCAGATGTTTAAGTGTGCAGACACGCTCCTTGGGGGAGATTGTGCGTGTATGAATTTTCGACAAATGCTCCGGTCAGGTAGATTATGGATTCGGAACCGATTCAGGCTCCTCGAGACAAAACGCTCTGCTGCATTTTGGTGAACAGACTCGAATGCAGAGTGAAACTCCATTTAGCTGCTTCGTTTTAAATTATGCTATTCAAGCCTCAAGGGGTTTCGACTTCGGCCAGATGTTTTGCAGATGCAGTTTTCCCTGCGGGCTTCAGTGCCTCCCGCTCCAGAATATGAGTTTCACCTTTCTAAGCGTGGCTGCTCTTGGGATCATATGTCGATACTGCTTTGGCCGAGGAGGATGTGCTCGACCATCGGATTGATCCATCGGTCTCTCCGTTTTATGGTCGACTTTCATGAGACTCAATGGCATTCGGTATTTTGGCTCATCAAGCAGTACCTTGTGACCCTGCGTCGTGAGTCACACTGGCATGGATTCGGTGGTCCTTCTGTGTCTCATGCCAAAGGCAAGCTCGAGAACCTAGTGGCCGAGCGGCGTGCACTGCATAATGAGGGGGTTCTCCTTTTCCTCCTGTTCGTCGTATCCCTCACTTTAGTAGTTCTGAGGTGGCTTTGTCCCCAATCAACTGGACAATGCAGGGAGGTGGCGGATGTAGCTCGTCTTCAACCCGCACCAACACGGATTGTCCCTCATGAACTCGGCGAGCCCAGCAGCCGATTAGATGTTAATCCTCAAGGAACTCGCTGGCTCCTCTGCAGTGATGCCTGAAATGGGCTGTCTGATATACCCGCTTGGCTATACACCGAATGTAGAACATCCAACTAGATGGCGGAAGTACGCTGGCCACTCCTCAAAAGTTTGCTCATCTATCCCATGATCCTGAAAATATGTACGGGTTCTTCATCCGACGACTCGGATGATTGATTAACCTGCTCCGCGATATGGGTGTAGGTTTGCCAGATTCATGTCTAGCATCGGCGACCGTTATCATTCCGATATGCAGGACACTTGATACGAGCTAAGCCAGATGATGCAATCAGTGCCTCTTTCTCGAAGTCCTTTTCCGCCACTTCTCCGAAGGAATTCGCCGTCTTGCAGATCATACAACAACCCGGGCAGTTTGATCGACTGACAACACGGCTGTGACTTGCCCAGCCCGACTCAAACGTTCTAAGAAACTCTGGCTGGGCTGTTTAGAGCATTACACTCTCTTCCATGTATGTAGCCTCATCGACGAAGAACATTCTCGGCAAGGAAGGACCACGCCCCGTTAGAGGTCGGCCATTATGGTCCCTCTGAATAACAAGCCGTTATGTGGCTAGGATTACAATATCCCTCCAGCGGCTCATATGTGTCTCCAGCTGACGTGTTATTCTTCCCGGGCAGCCGGAGTCGGTGCCTTTGAACAATAGCACCACCTGAGCGAGAGACAAAATGGCGTGCTGTTCAACAAGGGACCGCTGGCCAGGTCCATGCTTGACATGGCAATCGATTAGACTCTCTCCGAAGGGTCGTATCTCTCCGCCTCTCCGCCTCAGTCAAGTACGTCCCAGGCGCCCGGACATTAGGTTGAATGTCTAGGTATAAGAAGCACAGCGCTGAGCAGGATAGCGCATGAATCGAATACCAGTCCCACCGCAAAAAAAGAATGGCATATCCATATCGGCGCACCAATGGCCACGAATTTTGCCAGCTTGGGAAATGGAGGAAATGGGGCGTTCAGACTCTTGATGAAAAAGGGCCAGCGCTCTCTGTGGCATGATTTGTGAGCAGATGAGAGTAGCAAGGGACGAGCCGTCCCACCGGGGGAGGACCTCATCGACAAGCAAGTCTCCACGGGGTCTTCCATAGCTCCCCAAAGGCTCTGGGGATTTCTCGTTTGTTTTTAGGTTAAACAATCCTCGTTCATTGGCACATATAGCCATCACAGTGGCTCTGATACCAAGCAGACAACCCGGTTGTTCACCAGGCTTGAGGCATATGCCATTTCTAGCTGACAGGAGCTCGGGAGGAGGAACAGCGACGCCACCAATGTAATCTTCTTTCGTCTCTCCATTCTGAAGAGTTTCCGCTGAACTGCAAATTGGGTATTCTTCCTTGACACCGCCGATCAGTGTCGCTGCATCGCAGCTTGATCATGTCTACAAAAAGAGCTGCATCGCCAGTAGGTCTCTGGACAGTGAATTTGTCCCCGGAAATAATTGGCCAGCCTGGGTTTTTGAAGACTTTGTAACCGGGAGCTGTAGAGGCCTGAGACTGGATAGTGTAGGCGAACCCCGAGCATTTGTCACGCTCATGATCCAGGTCAATAAGGTCGTTGTAAGAGAAACCTGCTGCCTTGACCATCGGCATCCACACAACCTGAAGCGTAATTATGACGATATCTTGCTCCGGGTGATCGGCCCTGCCAAGGTATTTGATACCCAGGAAGCCATTATCAAGGTTGCTGTGGAGATTTCGGTCAAGGCAGATCGGATCTCTGGCTGGCCGAGTGCAAAGGCATATAGAGCGAAACAAGGTCCAATTGCTGGAAGCAGTTTTTCAAAGTCGTACCGGGCTGCGAGTGTGAAACTTTGCGATTGAAACATGCAAGTGTGCCTTTCCAAGCCGAGTACAAAGAGGGAGTGTGCTTTCGAGTTCGAGGGTCTGTGTACCTTGCAGAAGGGACGATGATGTTTAAGGAACGAAGATGCAGGCGATGGCGGCGATGCAGATGGTGACGACGATGCGGGATGGATCTCACCAAACCCCGACTTCGTTGAAAGGGAAACTGAGGTCATATATGGGCGTTGTAGCTGCCTCCTCTTCTTCAAACGCAACACCCCCTCTCAGATGGTGTTCTGGTGACAGAGTGCGCCAGATTCGCTGAACGGGGACTATCCACTCGAAAGCCTTGAAAGATGAGCTCCTCGCGCGCAAAAGACCCGAAAGCCCAGTCGTCACACATTCGGGTAGATAATTTGAACGACTGCCCAACATAGTACCGGATGTAATATTCATCCCGATCGTCCAGTCCGATCAGGACATAACCACCTACATCTGTCTCTGGCATCGGCTTCGACGCGGCGCTGTGGTAAACATCCTCCATCAACAGATATGTTGCCTAGCTTCCGAATCGCCTCCGCTTATATCGAACCGTGTATTGTAGGTTTCGGACATAGGGAAGCGGAATCCTGATGCAAGGGTGTTACCGGGACGGCCCAACACGATCTCACCGTCATCTCCTTGGAATGCCACCGAGTTGGTCGACGACGTTCCTGGCGCATGAGTGTGGTCAGTGAAGCACCAGTGTTCACGTCCATCCTGGATCAAGCACAGGAGAGTCTTCGAAGATAATGATAATGCGTGTCCAACAGCAATAGGACGTTCACGAAGTGCTCATTATGTCGGTGCACCGGCTGGATAGCCCGCTCGCCGTCGCGTGCGTCAATGGCTCGCCCATGAATACTGTATAGCTGCAGAGCTTCTGCAGCCCGTCCCAGCCTCTAGCCATGAGCAGGTACGCGACCACGACCAAACTGTCATGTTGTAGCTCCTCTGCTCCACAGCCTTCTGAAGCTCATCTATCTCCATGGACCGCTTCTTCGGGGCCTCCGTCTTGCCGTCGACCAGCACTACGTTCGCCGAGTCCTCGCCGAGTCTGTGGTCGAGAAACCTTCATTATCCGCGTCGAGCTCCTCATCAGCACATGTCTTGGAGTCCTGCGTGCACAGGATCCATGCCATGCAATTGAAGCAGGTGCTGGAAGAGAAGATGGCATCCATTCCGAGAGAGTCACTTCTGAATCATCTTCCGAGCGGAATTGGTGAGCATGGCCCGGGACTGGTGGCCACAGTGGCCCTAATGCACCTGTCCAGAGGAGGACACTCATGCATTGCAATGGTAGCGGGCTTCTTCAATCGGACACCCTGCACGAGGTCAGTATCACAGTCGGCTCGGAGCAGAATCGGAAACAGGCAGGACTTACGTGGTGTTGAGTTGACACCAAAGTCTGCATTCGCAGCATCATTTTGGATGGGATCTGTCATCCTATTGCCCCTCAAACTGCCTTTGCCCACAGACCCATGGGCTGGAAATGGATTCCCTCCCGCATCGTAAAGAGCGCCCGAACCTCTTGTAGGGTGTTCCAAGTATCTTCACTTCGCGCACAAGTCGAACTACCGTCTTGATCTCAAAGCAAGTGTTGACTGGTGTTGCGGTATGATATCTGCTTGTGTATGTTTCGCGACAGAACTTATCCCAGATTTCAGATAATGCAGCGACAGCTTCTTCCAAGCCCCTTACGTTCATTTCAAGTGAGCTCATGGTTTGGCCGGTCTTCCGATCGACACTCTTCCGAACAGTAGCAGGTTTGGGCGTTACTTTCCGGCATAGATAGAATGCCTAGCCCGTGTCCATTTGGCCCGGCGGGACATGGATGCGATTGTCCTCGGCATCGGTCGGATGAGAATCAAAGGCATGATCAAGAGATAAATCTCCTTTGTCACCTTAATTCGAAAGTAAATTATCAGGCTCCCTCGCTTAGGCATGCTGATGGATGCTGTAGGGGACCAGTTGGTGGACAGAATGTTGTACAGTGAATACACTGGGGGAGTGGGCATATTGGGACCAGAGCATCGAGTGACGGCACCAATTTGAGGGTCCCTCATGTGGCTGTTTGGGAATGAGGGCAGTTCGTTTGCCGGGCCATCATGGTTAATGAACCAAGATTTGAACAACGAAGGTTGATAGAGGGAGGGTAAAAGTTAGAGAAACGGAGAGGGTATACCAGGCCTCGCTCTCAGGAGCACCAAGCTGGGTCCAGGACGGGCAGGCTCCGGCTGTCTTGTTGTTCGTGGCATGAGATGGATAGCCCGGGATAACCTCCACCAGTGCGACGTAACCCGTTTGATATCGGCCTGTGTCTGCACCAAATGTGATAGAAGGCATTGAGGTTCAACCGACAGCACGAATGGACGATGGAAGTACTCGAACATGCTTCCTACTATGGTTCGTGCATTCAGATCGGCCACTAAAAGGCATTCGAATCATGAAGCCGAGAAAATGCGATGCAGTACCAGAGCCTCCCTGGAAGGTAAGTGTTCGTGCATTCGAACAAGTTCAGAGCGTCATCTTGGTCGCCGGAGTCGAAATGTGAAGACTCACTCCGGTCGTCTGGATAGGTAACACTCGTGGAAGAAGCATCCTCGCTTGGTGTATTGCAGAAGATAGGATTTGGTGGGAAAAGACACTTCATATCCTCGCAGCCCCCAAAACTCCACTCGAAACCTCTATTTTCCAGTCAGGGTTGGGATAAGATCTCAAGCAGGAAGGACGGGCTGAATCATGATGGTTTCTTCCCCAGTATTCATCTCTGTAAACAAGCCTTGGTAGGGGGGTACCACAAGCAACAGACAAAAATTCGCCGGGATCACCCTCTGTGGCGATGAGTCCACTGACAAGTTCGAAGACGACACTCGCGGGTGAGAGTTTGACCTCGAACCAGTGTGCTCGAATGATGAACCAGGGCAGGTCCGAGATGTTCAAGCATGTCGTGGATGTTAGTGACGACATCCGTCTTAGCCCACTTCTTGGAGGCTTCAAACCACCCGGGCTTTATGGCCGAACCATGAACAAAAACCCCAGTGAGGCTCGATGTCCCATCACAAGGGAGACACTCTTTTGGATTTGGCCCAGGTAAGGAAGAGTGATAGAAGAAGGCATAGCCCCAAGAGAGCTGAGTGTCTCCTCGCTCAGCCCACCAGGCCGATGTGTCTGTCCGCGAAAACGACACCGCTAGCATGTGAATTAGTTTCTGCTGATCTGAAGGAAAAGGGGAAAGAGGTACGAACCGTAATCGCTGCTGAGATTCTGCTGAGGCCCTCCAAAAAAAAAAAAGGACGAGGCGCTTCCTCATCTGAACCAGAACCACACGGCAGGACCAGTACACCAGAAGGATGGGTCCTCAGCTCTGTTCTAGGTCGGAGGAAGACATACAGCGGCGAACTGACACGGGATCCCGGAGATGGCAGGGTCTGCGCCTCCCCATCCTGCACCAGGCATCCGACGCGTTCTCCTCGAGTTAATTGAATACGCAGAGGGATAGGTGATAGAGCTGGTGGATGGGCAGATACGTGGGGGGTAAAAAAAGAAACTAAGTCTGCCTCCAAGCGGAAGACATACAAATAAAAGGGAAAAGGGAAAGGCCGTGAGTGAATGGCTACAGACTCTCCTCCAACATGGAAGGGGAAGGTCCAGACGATAATATAGCTTGGGTATCTGTGCCTACCGACCTTGAACGGAGGGAACTCGATGGAGGAATCAACGGGTGTGTGTAGCTTTCAGCAGATTGAATGCTCCGGGCACAGACCTAGTCAGAGAAGAGGCTGTAGCCCGATGGGTGGGCAAGTGAGGCCCATGGTGGACTTGGTCAATCCAAGTGCTCCTGGGGAATGTCTTGATAGAATCTCTGGATTAGTCTTGGAGGGATGGGGGATCATTCGTGTTATATAGACACAAAAAGGCTCCTCAAGAAGGCATCTCCAGCTGGCAATTCTCCCTACTCTGTGGCCCCCTTCTGCCTACCACTTGTTTGATTAAGGAGGGGGTTGGAGCAATTCGCCGTGACATGTAGTAGGGAATACACGCACTGGGAAAGTGCATATGCTGTCCACCCCCGAAGTGTTTGCCGGTGGCTCGAGCTCCGTGGCCATGGGGCCGGCGTTGATGTCTGTGGAGATCTACAAACAAGAAGCAGCCCCTGAGTAGCAACGAGGGCGCCGATCGGTTTCAAGAGACGACACACTCCGTACACAAAGTCACGGCCGATCAGTATCAATTGAGTATGCGCGGGAGGAGTGCTCCTGTGAAAAAAAATCCTTTAGTATTTTTTGTTGCTGCATCTGAGGTATCACTTAATTAAAACAAAACCATATGCAGCCATTTGAAAACCATCCCTTCGCTTGAGACCCCGTAATAATGCTGCCGCCCTTTTCGCACGTCCGTTATCCGCACCTACTTCATAACTTAATTCTTTCAAAATATACAGTTGGGATAGACGTACTCTCCCTCCCTGGCGCCGCCTTGATAAAAGCGGGACAGGCCTTTGTGGAACGAATCCAGCACCAAATATGGTGCTCCGCGTCTGTAATACGTATTAGACGGTAATGGATAGTTTGTCTCCATCGGCATTCGGTGCTACCAAGGCCCGGATGGCGTCGTCAACCTTTTCCAGCAAGTTGGCTACACCACCATCTGCCCTCCCGGCAGCACCAGTCATAAGACCTTGCCAGTTCTTGCCCTTGCCCTCCCAGATAGGTTTAAGGGCCTGGGCAAACCGATCCTCAAGCGCAGCGCCATCCGGAGCGGGGCGACGCAAGTGCCACCAGAGGCCATCTTTCCTACTTTTTGTTGAGCACTCCAACGAGAGCCGGATGTTCTCTTCATGCAGCTTGTAGTGTATCCCGATCCAGTCCAACGCACGGAAAGAGAAGCTGACGAAACCCTGTGAAACGATGCTATCCTCTTGCCAGGCTGCCTCAATTTTGTCAATAGCTGATATGGCTGGTAAAGACATAGGCAACCACGCCAGCAGCGCTTTAATACCCCCGTCAAGGTTTGCGAGTCTTTGCAAGATATCGACAAGCCTTAGCGAGGGGTTGTTCTCTTCAAGCTTGACCTGGATCTCATCCTTGGAGAGATCCAGCACAAGTCTCCATCGCTTCCTGCCCGCCGTGGCATCCTGCCCCTTGTTTTCAGTTTGTTGAGACGGCTCCTGGCCGTAGAAACATGAAACCTCGCGGAGAGTTGCGGTGTCACGAACAATCGCCCCATTTGTTTGATCCAAAGCCTCAAGGAAGCTGACAAACCGATCAATAGCCATCAGTCTAGACTTGAGTATAGAGAGCGTAGATTCACCAACACGGTGGCGAATCCGAATACTGAACTCGCCTGTTTGTGGCCTGTAGCTCACGTCTCGGTCGATAGCCCCACCAAGATGAGCAAGCTTGGACTTGTCTCGCACTCTGATGGTAGCAACAGAAATACAAACAAGGCGACCCGCATCCGCGGCGTTTCCCTCTGCCCCACTGTCGGCCTGGCGTCGGGATCGTGCGTGTAGCCCCTTGAACATGATAGTCACGATATTCTTTGCCCATGGCTGTCGGGAACCCAGGGACTTGGTGGTCGCTAGGTGTCTCAGAGGCGGTGCATCAGAGCTTGATCCCTGGCCCGCTCCGAAGCCCCCAACAGTTGAAGAAAGTACCATAGAAGGAAATAGTGTAGAAAGCTCGATTTCGAGCACTGGTAATCGAAAGAGTTTCCCGGCTGGCTGGCTGGGATCAGCAGATGCTTTGTTCTTGATTTGCCGTAGATATAGCTCGCGCGAGTCGATAGACTGCGCAATCATGCCTGTTGTGAAGGTGGTGAAGGTTTGCCAGAATTCATCTGAAAGATCTGGACACCCTCTGTGAAAGGGTAATCTTGCCTGCAATGGGGGACTGTAGTTGGGGTCTCCAGAGTTCCTAGAGTCAGGGCATCATTAGTATCCGAGCAAAGCCATATTTACATAAGTGGCAAGGAGACATGAACTTACGTTTCTAGCAGCCACCACTCATCGCCTCCCAGGCTGAGAAACACTGCAACGAACCATCTAGAATCCCAGCCATCTCTCTGAATCCAGATGCTGCGCGTCCAGTCACGCTTTTTGGTCATGGTCTTGATTTCCTCCATAGACATCGGGGGACGCGCCGTATGCCACCCGTTTCTACTTCCCTCACGACTCAGTTTCTCCTCAAATAAGGAACAACGAACATATTCAACATTGGTCAGGCCTCCCGTTATCATGTCTCGACAATTATTCAGGTGATGCTCGAACTGGAATGTGATCTTGGAGTGTGGCTTAATAGCAAACACTCCAGTGATTGGCTCCATCGACAGCGTGACGTCAGAGGAGAACCCAACTTGTGTCGTGAGATGAGATGCAGCTGGATCGGATTTGGAGATGTTGAGTAACATCCCAGCCTGCTTGTTCTGAAAGCGCGGTGCCTCCAGCAATTTGTCGTGGATCCCACGAAGGACGAACTCAATGTGCATGCCAATAACGTGGCGCAACAGATTCTCAGCAGAGATGTTCTCGACGTCCAATCGGATCTCCACACCTTCCACTTCTTTGTTTTCACGATACCACTTGGCTGTCAGATAGCTTGCTGGCTTCTCATCTTCGGGGGCATTCTTCTTCCGCCCACTGTTTACTGCGATCAGCACCCAGCTCTTGAGGCCTGCTGATGCTGTGCGCGAGGTCCAGTACTGGATTGCCAGAGCACGATGCAACTGCTCCACCACCAATGTTCCGGCCCAGGAACCTTTGCTTAACTGCAGTGCCTGTCGTTTGATCTCGTTGATCTTGGAGGTCAGAACTAATTCGTGCAGGAAGTGATAACAACCGGCCAAGCCATCCTTTTCCAGTGCTGAATTGACACACCATTCCAGGTTCATCCGCAAGGAATCGCTCAGTGTTGCCGCCGCAGGTTTAAAGTCGAACCTGAAGTCGATGAACCAGAACTGCTTTTCGAAGTCCTCATCTGCTATGGTAAGATCGACCTCAAATTCGCCGGGAACCTTGAACGTGACTCGCCCAGAACGTATTTCGTAATCTCTGAATTGGGGGGGGATTTTGTCGAACTCGTCGAGGTTGAGCCTAAGCGACAAATGTGTATTTAAATCATTGATCCATGTCAATTTCTCTTCGACGCTGATTGGCGGAGGCTCGATATAATTTAACTGTGAATCGAATTAGCGGAAAGTTCAGAAGGGTACGAGCAGATGAAACACACATCAGGGAACCATGGGGCAGTTCCAGTTGATAGGACGTGCAGAGCTGTCTTGAGGTCGGGGCTTGGCATCCGCGCATAAGTAAGAGTCCGTTGCGTGTTCATAACTGCGTCGAGGACGGCGGGGAATAGGTTCTTTTGGTCAAATATATGCATGTTGATGTCAATCAACTTGCTGACCATGTCAGCCTTTCGGCTCCATTCCGTAATAACCAGCGCCTTGACGAATGTTGTGTGAACTTCCTGGGCGAACGTAAGCAGGGCGGCCTTCTTCTGTAGGTTTTCGTTGGAGGTGTCGTCCACCGCTGCGGAAGACGAAGTTGCGTTTCCGTTGGTCGCGTTGGAGGGCAGCGGCAGCCCAGCCAAATATATGATTCTCTCCTGGAGTTTGTTATGGGTGCTTTGCGCAAGACGACTCAGAAGGCGGGATAGAGGGATAAAGCCATCTGTGATGTGTTTGAGCTCGTCCGGTAGGTCGTTCATCCTTGGAGGGCCCTGCGACTGCTTCGCGATTGGCTGGGCAGCGACGGCATTCGAGGGCGCTTCCTTGGCGGGCGCGTTGCGAGTATCGTCGGCGGCAGACCCATTGTGACCGTTCGTCTTGGGGCCTCCATCTAGATCGATGCGCGAGCCATCATGACCGCCATCGTTCATGATGACAGCGGCCGGCATACTGAATGGCTAGGCGTTGATCGCCCGATCCCCCTGCACAGTCCAGGAATCACCTCTCCCACCTCGCCCCACGGCGCGGTAGACGTCGCTCGTTGAATCTCTCCTCCAGCCGTGTAGGTCATATAGAGAGAAAGGCGGCGTTGCACTACAGAGACAGAGGCCTGGCCAACATGAAGAAAGGGGGCCGGCCGTCTGTCCTTCCGTCGAGTCGAGGATGAGAGTGCGGTGATGCGGTTGTCGGTGAAAAAAAAAAAATGGCTAGGGGTCGCTCGAGATCGGACAATGCACGAAAATTTCCAGGCGTGCAAGATACGTCGAAAGGATCGCTGGGGTCGGGGGTGCGCGGTGGTGAAAATACTGTAGGCGGCAGGTTGGGCTGATGCCGATGCGAAAGATGAGGGAGAGTTCAGTTCACTTGGCTTCAGCTCAGTCGAGTGTAGCGGAACGAGACGCGCCCGGCAGATTTGCTCCATCCACTTTAGGTAGGAGCGAGCCCCGGTTTTATCGGCTCCGGGTTGGCCTCCCAGCTCAATCACACCAGCAAAGCACCTCCGCCGCTACATACACCACAATTCATTGATCGCTATGGGAGAGTTGCTGGGACAAAGGCAGCAAGCATCCTGGTGCGGAGCTTGCTGTGAGCTAGCGCTACGGCTTGCTGCACGGTGCGATGCATGCACCCTTCTCTATGCGCTCTGGTCTTGTGTTTCCCCTTGTTTGTTGTTGCTGGCAGAGACGGACGGCTCGATCGCATTGAAGCATGCTCGCTCGGGCCCAGCCCCAGCCAATCGGCGGACAGTCCACGCGCACCAGTCAGCCTTCGTGACAAATATTATGTGTGCACTCAACAAAGAGCTGCAGCTCACAATGGATTCCGTTTGCATGCATGCTGAACACCAGCAGAGTGCGGGCTAGAATTGAGTTGACAAGCTGGTCCCCCCGAGGCCATGTAGCTTTGAGAGTGCATTTAGTGTTGGAACTGGGGGCTGTTAGCAAACGCCACTTCATCATCATTCGCCAGTGATTCCCTAAGCTGCTCAATCTGACTCAACCCCTTCTCAGCATTGCATAACAGTTGCATCAGACAACCCTCGACAGTGCATGCGCTCTGAGAGGGCAGAGCAGTATGGAGAGAGGCTCGCAATGAAATCACCAACGTTCACATTCGATAGAACCAGGGGGGCAAAGTTGCAGAAGCATTATGTTTTGTTGTTTCTATGTATCCGCCGAGAGCCTGAGCGAGAGATAGGAGAGAAAAAAATATATCTAAAGACACGCAGCCGTCGTCAAATCCGAAACCCACCCAGTTGCATAATTCGGGTTTTATTTTATTTTACTTTGTTTGATTCATCACAAGTCGGTCGCCCGCCCATAGTTAACCATGCTGATCAGGAGCTTTTCGGCTTGCAGTGCAGCTCTACCCCTTAGCTCTCCTAGCTGCTCAATGGGTTAGAATGCTTCTTTCACGAGAACGATTGCTTAAATGTACAAACATGATTGACATGACAGCATCAACTTACAACTTGGTAGGTGCAGCGGCAGATGTCATGGGCCACTGGTAGCCGGTAGCATCGCTAAACTTATAACCATAAGAGGCTGTGAAATCATCCAAGACGGCAGGGCCACGCGAGCCTAAAGTCGGTTTATTAGCAAAGAACGGCGCCAAGATCAGGCAGCACATCAACTAAACACTTACCGTAGGGGTATTCCATGGGGACGATTTCCTTGTTGTCCTCCAGGTAGTGCAGGAGGGGGGTAAAGATACGCCAGGAGGCGTCCAGCTCGTCATCACGGACGAAGTTGGAATGATCTCCCTTGAGGCAGTCGAGAACCAGTGATTCGTATGCCTCGGGGATCTTTAGATCTGAGAAGCGGCGGCGGTATGTGAGATCGAGTTCGGTGACCACGGTCTGCATGCTGAGACCCGGTAGCTTCGAGTTCATCTTGATGTAGACACTCTCGTTTGGCTGAATGCGCATAACAAGCTCATTTCGGGGGATGTCCTTAAAAATACCAGTTGTAACATCCTTGAACTGAATTCGAATCTCGGTCTTCTGCTCATTGAGAGCCTTGCCTGCCTTCAAAATGAAGGGGACGCCATCCCAGCGCTCATTCTTAATGTAAGCCACCATGGCGCAGAAAGTGGGGCATCGGGAGTCTTGTGGAACGGTGTCGTCCTCCTTGTATGAGGGCTTGGTGCCATCCAGGGACTTGCCGTACTGGCCGATAATAACATTCTTGGGCTCGATGGGGGAAATGAAGCGAAGAACGCGGACCTTCTCATCGCGGATGTCTTCAGAGTCAAATGAAATAGGGCGCTCCATGGTCAGGAGGGTGAGGACCTGGAGCAGATGGTTCTGCATGACATCACGGATGATGCCAAACTCGTCAAAGTAACCTCCTCGGCCTTCGGTGCCGAAAGGTTCCTTGAATGAAATCTGCACGTTATCGATGTGGTGGCGGTTCCAGGTTGCGCCCAGGAATGAGTTGCCGAAGCGGAGAATAAGCAGATTCTTGACCATTTCCTTGCCAAGGTAGTGATCAATGCGGAAGAGCTCATCCTCCTTCCAGTCGGGCTCAAGAGACTTTTGAAGTTCGCGGGAACTGGCAAGATCCTTTCCGAAGGGCTTCTCGACCTACATCGGAGTGTTAGTCTAGGAAGGAAACCAGCACACACGTACACCAGATGGCTTAAGGGAAATAGAATTTAAAAAAGGGGGGGGATGCGCCAATTGCCGCAATGGCCTACGTACAACAACGCGAGCGATGCCCTTGGTAGGGTAGCAGCATCTCTTCAAGTGCTGGGAGACGATTGTGAAGACACTAGGGGGCAGAGCCATGTAGAAGAGACGATGAGTCTCTGGGCGACCACTCTCGAGCTCCTCGAGGTGCTTGTTAAGGTTCTCGAAGGACTCGTCCTTGTCGTACTGGCCGGAAATGTATGTGCAGAGCTTGCAGAAGTCCTCGAGCTGCTGCTCAATCTCCTTGGTGGGGGTCTTCATGTAAGACTTGATGCGCCGCAGATACTCCTCATGGTCCATCTTGGTGCGGGCATATCCGACGATTCTGACATCCTTGGGGAGGAATTGGTTACGGTACTGGAATCATGTATTAGTTACTCTGATTGTTGTTGCGCAGGTGGCGTGGGACGGGATTCGTGGAAGGTGTGCTCACCAATCCAAAGAGCGCGGGGTACTATGCGAATCCATCAGTCAGCTATTACTCGGCGGCGCGGAGGAGGGGTTGGGAAGATGCCTACAGTCTTCTTCTTGGCCAAATCACCAGAGGCTCCGAGAACAACAATGACGGTGTTCTCCTTGAGCTCCACGTTCCTGTTGCAGCGTCCTGGGTCAGCTTCATGGGCACCAAAAAAAAAGTTGGGAGACTGGGCTGCGGCTTCGGAGGGCGCGCTGCTCTGGAAGCGCCGGCGGAGAGTGGGGAGCTTGGAAATACATACGAAGCTTGAGCGTGGTCCATCTTGAGCGATGTCGAGGCTTTGCGAAGCCTTAAAATCCGACGAGGGAGTGAGGGCAGATGGCAATTCTGTCGGTCGGCCGAGGAAACGAAGAGGTCGCCAGCAAAGGGAAGTGATGAAGGAGACGGGAATCCAGAGGTGGAAAGCTAGGGACGAAGCAAGGTTTCTTATGACGAACTAGCAGCAGCTACGGATATGTAGGTGAGGGGTCGCTTTATAGCGCGCTAGGGGTGTGATTCGCCTGTTCTGGAGGATATCCTGGGCGTTGCAGCCACCGTAGTGCAGTGCAGTGCAGTCTCATCCCCTCCCTCGCCGAGCCCCCGACAGGATGATGTAGTGCATGTACCGTCAGGAGCCAGATTTCCCCACTCAGATTGATCTTTCTGTGGCTAGTCTGCTGGGTAATTAGTAGGTAATGGAGGTAAACGCATGTCGGATGACGAGGGATGCCGTGGGGTTGGCGCCGACGGTCGAGTCCGTGACAATTTTCCGTCGAGTCTGCTAGACTGCCAGGCAAACCACCATATCGCGGTCGCCATCTACAGATAGCTCTATGTGGATTACGTTGGCAGACCCTAAGATCTCAGGGAAGCTGCCAGGAAATTAATCGTTCATCTAGGATTCTGAACCCCGAATGTTTCATCGATTGGCTAGTTAGCTAAGGGACAGGTACTTCTGCGAGGTCACCGTGGTATTCCCACGCCGTCCATGTGTGTATGGTTGGACACGTCTGTTGGCTCCTCAATGTATGTAAAGCCAGCATCAGCCAGGAAAGGTACTAGCCCAGGAAAGGTACCCAGGAGACAAAAACCTCGCAGCTTTCGAGTCGAGAAGCTGGCCAACGAGTACACCAGTGGGAAAATACCTCTCTGTTAGCCCGCGGAGTAGCCTGCACCGCTCAATGGCCTCGAGGAGACGGAAATCCAACAGCTTCTACGTCTGGTAGGAGCCCGTCCATCGTACATGGATGGCTGCTAGCTGTGTTCTCCCGTATCGGCTGGCAGCCGCCCTGGACCCCCCCCGTGGACACTCAAAAGGAATTAGCCTCCCAACCTCAGATCCACTAGCCTTGGGGCCCTGCATTTGTATTCTCTGATTCAGCAACTTTGAGCGATGGAACAAGCTTTGTCAACCCCGTGCTAACCGTTGACAAAGATGCGCCGAGAAAACAGTCAGAGACTACAGCAGACCCAGGTACCGGAAGCACCGTCATTCTGAGATCCAGGATCAGCCAGCTCCTAGCCGTGCCAAGTCGTGGATTTATAAGTAAGGAAGTGTCGGAAGCAGGCACCTCATAGGGATGGGCTCCTGTTGCTCCGGCACTATCTCCGGTGGGGGGGTCATTGTCAACCTATCTGTAATCGGATTACAAAAACGCTCCCTTATCCCCATCTCCTCTGAGCTCTTCGCGGCCCAGTCGGGTGCTGACAAGCAGTTTCTAGACTGGATACCAAGGTCATGCCCAGCCTGGCTTTTTTCCGCTTCTGGTATATGGGTTAACTCAACACTTTTTATTTTCCCCGTTGGTCACGGGGCTCTCTCCTACTACGGTGGTCAAGGGTTTCAAGCATTCTATTATAGCAGATAGTACCCCCAACTTAAGCTTGCTTTCTCCATGTATTATGTTTCTAGCAAACCCACTCGCTGATGCTTCCATTCTTCTGTTCCTTTTCACGGCGCCGTAGTAGGACGGCCTTGCTCTCTAACAATAGCTTGAGAGTCGTAGGGTGACACTCTCAAGGCACGTCTATCAAAGAGAGGAAGGATTTTCTTTGTGGTTGGCTTGAATACACAAAGCTAAGGGCCAGAAACAGCCTCAAAAAAAGGCCAATAAAGAAACAACACCAAAAGAAAGGTCGCGATCGAATCCAGCAGGTAGCTCTCGCGCCCCAACCCCACGGCTGGGATGTCCCATGGAAATGTGGAGGCACCAAGCCCTGTCATCACATGTGTGGCTAGTGCATTTTTACAATTTGGAAGGAGGGGTTGCTGCGGCGGTGCTTTCCATTTCCAGCCACACTGCGTTGATAGGTGTTTACCTAAGCAGGAATTGCCCTAAGGTGCAACACGTGATGGCGAGGGCACAAATTTTCGTGGTTGGGTCACCGCACATCACAACCGCATCCACACGACCTTGAGCCGGACATCACGACAATCACGACGTGCACTAACAAAACAGGGAGTCTTTTCGCTAAGACGAACCTCCGACGACATTTCCTTTTAGCCTTTGGATCTTTAGAGAGGGTGGAAGCCATAAATCTATTACAATGCCTTCCGAAGCTGGACACAGACGTAAGTTGACCCTGTTGATTCTCGGTGAAGCCGCTGGCGATTTCGGCTTCGCACACACGATATGTTTACTTTCTGGGACAAAAACTAACTTGCCTTGCTTGCATAGTATACGTCAAGTAAGCCCTCCCCTGGCACCAATTCCCATTCATTGCAATCATCGAGTCACCACCGGCATCAAACGACGGTCAAATTGAATGTCGGCGAAGTCGTTTGGAGATTTGGAGAATTTACGAAGGGATCGAATATTACTAGGAAGCGAACTGACAAGAGGACAATAGGGGACGCCACCTGAGCTATCAGCGCTCCCGCCACAACACCCACCCTGGCACCAGCCTGATCAAGATCGAGGGTGTTGACGACACCAACGCCGCCAAGTAGGGCTCTCCAATTCCCCTTGACCAGAAACTCAGCGCTGACAGTTTCCCAGCTTCTACCTCGGCAAGAAGATCGCCTACGTCTACCGTGGACAGAAGGAGATCCGCGGCACCAAGATCCGCGTTATCTGGGGCAAGGTTACCCGGCCACACGGTAAGAACGAAAATCCCAAATAAGAGATTCGCCGACGGCAGTCATCTAACAAGCGACGATTAGGCAACTCCGGTGTCGTCCGTGCCAAGTTCACCTCTCCTCTCCCCACAAAGTCTTTCGGCGCTTCCGTTCGTGTCATGCTGTACCCCTCATCGATATAAGAGGGTTTGGAATGGAGTTGGTAGTGAGGACGGTTATCTTTTGGCTGCATTGGTCGAGGCAAGGGTAAAGCATACTGCCTTAGTTCGAGGCGATCGATTCAAAAGACGTCAGATCCTCTTTGGTTGGCATGCGATGGCGTCCGTCCGATGAAGTGATTCCGAGGGCCTCGGCTTTCCGATTTCGCATGGATGCCGTCGACGACAACACCGACTTTCAAAGATACTTGAGGGCCTTTGATATCGGTTTGGGGTAGATGTAATATGGATTTGTGGTGTCTCACGACTAAGGAAAAAGATGAAAAAAATATTTCGGGCTCATCCTATCATCCTAGAGGCTAAAATTGAAGGCTGCGTACAAAGGCGCGACCCAAACCATGGCTCTCGAGATATGATGTGATGTGTTTTTGATTGCTCTACGCCCACGCGGCCTGCATTCGATCTGCGCGAATGTGACCTAGGTTTGGCAGTTCTATGTTTTGATCTTGCGATAATGGCTTCTGGGGATATCCCTTTTTGATTTATTGTCTTTAAGCGAATAGTTCTTTCTTCGCATCCCATACTTGAATATTGAATTCACTTGATGTGTAGGACGGGTCTTGAAAGTATAGACAAACCCAGTATGAAATGCGGCTTATAAGTCACCAACATTGATGATTCCTAATGACGACTCAGACTCGCGTCTACAACGTAAACACCAATATACGTCAAACCCCAACCCTAATCAAGACGTGCTAAGATTGTCTTGTTTCGTGGCCTACCCCATCCCGCACGAAAAGTAAACTAAGACAGTAACCCCAAGCTACTAGCCTGGTGGCATAGAAAGTGATACATTCAAACATTAATCTATAATGTTTCCAGTTCTTGGTGGTATTGCCAAATACTATTAAGGACCAATAACAGATGTTCAAGACATTAGACCCTATAAACTGCTGCTTCATATCCGTTCATATGGCTATACTATTCCCGTTATTAAAGGAAGTGCCCTGCTCATGACGCCGCTTCAATTTGATATCTCATATCTTCTTTACCCAGTTAGCTACCTACTCGGATGATAGGAAACTGGTTGAGTGAGCACGGCAACACAAAGATATCAATTCGACCGGAATACAATTGTAACAAAGGATCCTTTCAACAGCGGAGAACGCATCGAGGAGAGCTTATCCCCGAATGATACCGTAAATAGATGCAGCCGCCCTCGTACAAATTTTGGGGTTTCTGGATGAGCTTATTGCATGGAGAAACAAACAAACGACAGACACACAGCCCTTCAACCTGGGCACAGATCACAATGGAGTGTCACGGAATTGAACACTTCGACGCCTATCAAGAGAAGGTTTTAGATGAAACCCGTTTCACCTATATGTAAGGCGCGTTCCATCTCGCACCGTTCGGCGAGAAGGATAACTTTAAGGTTCAACCTCGGGAGCAAATCATGCAGCAAAGTAGAGAGGATGTAACTCAACGAGAAAAGGAATTGTATACGAGACTCTCGGATGGCAAATCTACTAGCTCTGCTGTCCACCAGTCCCCGGGGCGCACACGTCATGTGTTGCTCTAGGTGGTGACTGAGTTTTCCCGGGTTCCTTGAATGGATACGAGGTGTGGTAGAGGGAGGGGAGGTTGAGTAACTCGATTATTGTTTTCGCGCGGGCCCGGTAAGACCGGAGCTGTGTCTGACAAGGATGGGCAATATGCTGGAAATTGAAACGATATGTTTATCTTTGCGGGTGTACAATGAACATCTTTGACAGCCACCTTTCACTCCGCAACTACCGTGTCACGGCATTCGGGGCGCCAACCGACTTGTTCTACCAACCTCCTTCTCTTCATGCGCCGCTTACTCACCCGGCTGGTGTGGTTGCTGGGTGGCAATGGTGGTGTAGCGGGGAAGTAGCATCTCCCCTCCTGCCGTCAGCGGTTCTCCCTGCTCTGGCAGTGCTCATTATGGACATCCGATCATTCGCATTGATCACCTCTTAATAATGCACAGTCGCTTAAGAGAGAAGGGTGTGGAGGATCCTCATATGATGGACTATTGGGGAGAAGGGGGGGCGAGCTTGAGCTTAGATAACGCCGATCATCCTCGTATCATGGCAGTTCCCTGATATGCATGTCCGCGGCCTGCGCAACTGCTTCAGGCAGACAGCACCAGAGCGGTTCCGCCTCCCTGCTTCGGGGGGTTCAGCTATGTAATAACGCAGCGTCTATTGAATTGCAAATCCACGACACGAGAGATGGAAGCAGGGGATGAGTTGTGGCAAATGTATTGATGCCAGAGCCAACTCACTACAGCTAGCACTTGCGACATCAACACTATGGAAGCAGGGAGAGTAGCGCAATGTAGGTAGGCGGCAATAGGCATGCACTGCTGAAGGCTGTTTGACAAGTCCTCCCGAAAGGTGCATCCGCATGGCACTAGGAACTCCATCTTGTTTTACCTTATCCAGTCGACGAGGAGAATCAAGGCTAGCAGTGGCTGGCCAGCACTCGACAGCAAAACTAAGGCTAATTAAATGTTTATTGACCGCACTTTGCCATCCAGTCAATCAGCTTTGGCGCCCTGGCCACGGCCCATGCGACCCGAGTAAGAGGACAGGTCATATATGCACGCATTGACTCTTCACCATGATGAGATCGCGATTGTCGGTACATGGCGGGTTGGGAGGCAGTCAACAGTGCTTAGAGTACACTGTTTGGAGTGGTCGCCCCCAGCTCCTGGTCAATCCCAGTAGGGCCGACATAAAATTATCCATGCATACCTGACAAATGGATAAATTGCCTTCGGGCACCACCAGCCCTGTTACACTCAAATGACGGCAATGTGGAGTGATAGCACAGCCTCCTCTTCCGTCGCAGGTGCAGGTAAGGTAACATCAACTCGATGCCTTATCTGTACGAATTAACCTGGGGGTAAATAAAAGGATGGCAGGGCATCTGACCTCAAACATCAATTCCTGCAGCAGATGGGTATCAGAATCCTTGCCCCAAGTCAGGTATTATTAGTAGTTCCCGCCAAAGTGTCTGTTGATAAGGAGTATCCTCCCATCGTAGAGCGTATTCCGGTAGTTCAAATGGGGTTAGAATCGAACCACCACAGATTTCGGCACCCGATCGGTAGATTTGAGTCAATCAAGACATTGGCCACGAACCCATGGCCTCTCGCCTTGTTCGTGTAGCCAGGCTATTGTTCGTCGCTCTCCTCTTGTTACTACAGGCCAGTTTCGTCAATTGAAATATGGACGCATAAAAGAGAGGCTATGAAGTACGAAAGAGACCATTCAAAAGCGTGGATTCCGTCAGCAATGACAGACAGGTTTCGATCCATCTTCATCACAGAACCGCGCTCTGAAAAGATTCCGCGCTCGCCGAACATATTGAGATGTCGGTCACGAATACTCCGATAGCATGTTATTACCATTAACTGTATCATTTTGATATTTGAGAAGCTTGGGACGTGCACCCAGTGGCGAGCTGTCGACGCCACCAGCAATCGGCATCAAATGATCAGAGGAGAGAACACAGCCGCCTGTGACCGTAGCAAAAAGTCAATTCATACGCTTGGGCAGCTAAAGACTCGACTGGCGCTGCTGCTTGCAGGAGGCCGCACAGCTCCCAATTGAATTCAATCCAAGCTACCAAGTAAGCATATCACAAAACATGCGTGGAAAAAAGCCGTGGACATCCGCGCCGATGAGGGTCTTTTGGATGTTTCACCAGCACGGGCTATTTAGAACAAAAAAAAAAAAAAAAGAACAACGTGCAGGCGCGTGGATGCAGATGGCCTGATGCAGTTAGGCCTGAAAAGCAGCCGATTGACGTTCGCAACTTGACTCGACGTGGCGTTCTGCGCCAAGCGTCAGCTTCCCGATCGCATGCTTCGGGCAGAGGTACCTTGCCTGTATTCTGCGCTGGCCACTCACTCACCGAGTCGGAGCTAGCAGTAAATATGCTCCGCACCGCCTGTGGACAATCCTCGTTCAAGCAGACGGAGCTCCCAATCGGAGCATAGGTGACTTGGAAAGGCCCTTGATAGTGGCGTGGTGCAGAATAAGGTCGGCACTGATCGACCTACCGAGGCACCACCCGACGCATGCGAGTAAATGCGGTCGGCCGAGATCAATTCCCCGTTGCCTGTGTAGAGGCTGCAAGTGAGCCTAAAATAAATGCACGTAGAGAGGGCACGAAAGAGGGTGAGCGAGGATCGAGGATCGAGAAGAATGGCCGGATCGGTTGCCCCGGTTTAATAGTCCAAAAGCACCACAACGCCGCTACGTTGGTGCAATTCTGCGACATATCGAGTTTGCTGGTGGCACTTTTCCATCCAGTTGTTTGGCGCTTCAGGCCCACGCACAGCAGAGTGGGAAGGCTGCCCACTTTCCACCCACCAGGGAACCCACACCGCGACCAGATCACTCGCGGCCCCACTCCTGGCAGCCCAGCGCAGGCCCAGGGGACGGCAGACTGATATCAGATCCCCTGTCCGGTTGCGTACCTATGTGACCTGACGCCCGCCCGTTGCGTCACAGCAGCCCTCTGGTAGCATCGACGCAAACGCCTCCTCCCCCAAGGTACATGCGCAGTACCTGGCTGGTGGTCGCCGGGTGCGCCACAGACCTGCGCACGTCTCTGGCACAGACAGACAGGTACTGGCATGCCATGTATGCATGCACTTGGGTTGCCAAGATCGAAGCATCCCAGACACGAGCATAACTAGCCCGGAGCCCTGCCTGTCCTGCTTGGTCCATGTGAAAGCCCTGGTCTCTGACGAGTTCTCAGCATCACTACGCGCCATTAGCGGGTCACACAGTACATCTATTCCTGCACTGGTCGCCTGGCAGCAGGTACGCAGTACTCGCCCGCCGTGTGCCAGAGGTACAGTACCTGCCTTGCCGCTGTCGTCTGCCCGCGTCGCCCGTACTGAGATACTTGCCCAGCTGCTAGCTTGGCTGCTCGCATGCGTAGCGGTACGGCAACGCGCAATTGTCGTCCGCAGCCATCCAGGTGTGCTTTCATCATCACCCAACCAGCCGGCCAATATTTATTCTCCTGCTCGAAAAGCTGTCAAAGTGGACCTCTTCACACCTCTCCTCCTCCTCCTTTCTTTCTTTTCTCTCCTACCAGTCCCTCGCTCGCTCAACTCAATCAATCGCCCAGCTGCAAAGCTCCATCGTCTGATTCATCCTACTCTCCCATACTACCTACCTATCGCCCCGTTAATTAATACTACTCTCTCGCCCTCTCGCCCTCTCCAAACAACCTAACATATCCCCACCCGGCCACAGACCCGTTCCTTGGTATCATCCTTGCTAGCGGTATTGTTGGACCTCGATAAGCCCAACAGCTTTCAACTCTTTGCTACTACGTGAGATTCCCAGCCTTCCAAGTGCACGGGTCCCAATCTCCAGATCATCGAGCGATCCATTGTTTCTCGCCAACTCGCACCAAAAGCTCCGCTCTCCTGTGGTCCTTGCACTTGGCAGAACAGGCAACCCCTGCGTCTTGCGATACAATTTTAATCAAAACGCTGTTGCATCCCAGCTAGCCGCGATGGAGACTCAAACAGACGTGTATCATCATCATCCCTTCCCGCCCCCAGCCCATCATCCTCCAGAGCAGTACGACCAAGCTTCTTCCCAGGTGGAATATCAGTATTCTCAGCACCAGCAACCGCAGTCACCTATCCAGAAGCAACCACCTGCTCGGTCGAAACCTCGAACCTTTAGCTTCCATTCCGATCGGTCTCGGAAGAGCTCGCAGAAAAGCTCTCACAGGGAATCTTATCAAGAGACTTCGGCTCAGAAGGAATCAAAGCGCCTACATTCAAAAGCAGACCCAAGTGTGGCCATTAGCGAGGCAGAGCCTGGTAAGATGCCCCCTCTCTGTTATCTTCCATCTTAGTTTGCATTCCTTTCACATCCGGGGCGAAAGGCCGCCAAACTTCTCTTATACCACGCCTTTGCCACCTTCTCATCCCGTCTCTTCGATCCGACACCCTACTGACGCAGCCAACAGCTGAGGTCGCCGCTGAGATGACCCAATCCGCTCTCGCCCCTCTTCGATCTATCACCCACAAGGACGCAAATGGCAATCCTATCGGTATGTTTTTCCTGGTCGTGATTGACAATTTGTGGACAAACTTGCTAACTGCGCTCAGCTGATCCTGACAAGTCCAACCCGACGCGCAATCGCTGGGAACGGCCGCTAGACACCATTCGCAGCTTCGAAGCCGCAATTGATGGGGGGTACTCGAGGAAGTCGATGATGTTCCGAGCAGGTAAGGGTCTTCTGAACCATTTCACTGAGACAATTTACTAAATAGGTAATTATCAGAGACGGATTCGGGAGCTACGTGGAGTCGTCGAAATAGCTACCATCCATGTGAGTCTTATTACGTACATTCCAGTACCATATCATATGCGGCATACTGACAACGGGTTAGCCGGGCAACCACGTTTCCGGCCGAATAGCTACTACGGGAACCGCCCTCAGTCGCAACGACCCGAGTACTCCCAATATGACACCGGAAACACCAATACCGCGAGAAACAGTTTCTACGACCATCACGCCTACAACGCCGGTTTCAATGGGTACGGCATGGCTCAGCCTCAGAATTACAGCCAAGGCCCGAGCAGGCAACGGCCACCGAGAACGGCCCCCGAACCCGGATACAGGCAAAACGGACCACCTCAAAATGTCTATCATCTGGCGCACAAGGATCGCTCTTACGAGACGGTGACCTCCGCTGCGGGTAGTGGAAATTCGGAACCTGTTGGCTATCAAACCGACCCAACCAGCAGCGACAACAGTTCTATCGAGAGGAATTTGCCAGCCAAACGCACCGAGCCCATGAACGACTATGGCATTGGCTTCAGCCAGTCTCAGACATCTCAAGATTCCAGTCTAGCTGCTGGGTTGAGAGGGGTCCCACAACAACAGCCCGAACAGCAAGCGCCGAGAAACAATGGCACCTCTATTCCTCGAAAAGAAATTAATGTCATTCCCAGAAAGCAACCGGCAGTACAACAACAGCCCGCTCCTCAAGAAAAGAGGAAGAGCTGGTTCACACGACGATTCAGCAAAAATTCCTAAGTTCGCCACAGATGCCCATACTCTCATTGTCCTTTTCCATTTGTCGATACCCAACCGGATTGGAAAACCACATTTTCCATGGCAGCAATGCCTGCCAACTTTGTTCATTTGATGGAGTGTTGAAAGTCATTAATACTGGGGGTTTATGATACCACTTTGAGGCAGGATCCTAATGGATGGTCTTCGAACACGGGTCTCACATAGATCCGCGGGGCTCTGTTCCATGGTCTCATCGCTACATATACTTACGGATAATGTACGAGGCGTTCAGGGGAAGATTCATGTTGACTTTTATTCCTTTTTTCCTTCTTTGTGAGGAGCATGAAGATTGAGCGGGAGGTGGTACACGAGTGCACCCGGGTGCTGATAATTGATTAGACTTGGCATATATAATGCAGGCCACATAAGCCCGAACATATGAGCCTTCATCTACACAGCCTTGTTTATTTTACAAGTACAGAACAAATTCTTGCTTGCAAGTAAAATATGCTACTAGAGTACAAAAGTGAACTTGTGATATATAGTAAATGAAAAGTCGTATGGCACATTGCCCTGTCCCCAATTGATCATCCGTGCTTGTCGCCTCTATTTGTCCTTTTGGCTCTCTAGCTTCTTCTTCTTCTTCTCTGTCGTCTCTGATTGATCCTCCTTCATAGCGACGATAATATAACCCACCAGGACGACATTGGCCAATAGAGCAGCAAACCCTCCGGCAAAAGAAGCATTACCTGTGTTCATGTTAGAGTGTTCTCTTGATACTAGTGACCACAGTCACACCCCAGCAGGCAACCAGGGATATGTGGAAAGGAAGGGATGAAATAAATAGTACCCTTGAACACCGTATTAACGGTGACAAAATAGCCTCCAATTGGAACAACAATCATGGCAAAAGTGAAGGCGAGAAGCTTGAAGATAACATCACTGGAGGTTAAGCATATATGTGTCAGCTTCCAACCAGCCAGCTAAGGAACAGCATTATGAAACAAACTTTGGGACAGCCGGTGCAATGTTAGACTTCTCCTCAATGGGGTCATCCTTCTCAAGAAGAGTCCGCTCAGTATTAACGATGCGACGGGTAGCCATTTTTGCTTGGTCTGGTGAACAGAGGGAGCAGAGGGTCAAGGCTTGACTCTGTGTGAACGCCAACGAGAGTCAACCGGCTTAAGAGGAAATGGTTTTAAAAGTGTCGCAGAGAATTGGCAAATATCTTGATCCAATTTGTCAATTTTCGCGTGACGTGAAAAGAAGGATATCGTCCGGACTGAATGACGTGCAATGTGACCGGCCACTTGCGTATCTGGCTGGTAGGCGACACCACTTAAATCCAGCACGTGACTTCGCGATGCTGGAACGCGTCTTGGCACATGGAGACGGAAAAAATGGGAGGATATCGGCCAACCAACGTGACTACTGGCGTCAGGCTGGGCAAACTACCCTCGCACCTCCCGCTCAACACTTTCACCGTGCTCTCTACGCAGGCTGCTATTTATCAATGCTGCAACTAACCCCCGCCTTCTTTGCTGGCTTCGAGGGCTCCTAGAAACACCCCAAAGGGGCCGTGAATTTCGCAATATACCCATGAGATTGCCTTCCCGCCAACCCCCCGGTCAGACACACTTATTATGGCTCGAAGCTCCTCGCCGCTGCCCATCCGGCACTCCAACAGCCTCCCCAAAACTCCCACAGTTGCACGCCACCCGATTCTTCTCGACCCCGACGAATTGGGGATGGATACAGTACCTTGCTCACCCGGCTTCGCTCTTCGCCGTGATGATACTACACAGCCTACCCAGATTTTAGGTCGGAACACCCCAACGCTGGAGGTTTCTTCACCCCCAAGCATCGTCGAGGTTCCTGCCTCATCCTCACCATTTCAACCAGAAAAACGACCGATGTTGGGCTCACGACTCGCACCCGCGGGGACGGTTTTCCGCCCTCCGCCTCGCCCCCAACCACGAGTTCCGCAGAAGCGCCCTGCCCCAGAGCCAATTGATCTCATATCGGACGACGAAGATGACTTGCTGCCTCCCCAAGGGGATATTAGACCTACAATATTCAAAGCCCCAATTTCATCGTTCGCCTACAACCCTGTGCTCGACAAGGAGAAGAAGATGAGAGAAAAGCTGCGTCAGATCTTCGACGTATTCGGGCCCAAATTTCCCTCCGCCGTTGTAAAGCAAGCGTTGGAGGATAATGAGCTGGATGTACCCCGGGCGATCGATTGGCTGGATAACTACGGCTCTCAGAAGTCCGTTAAGGCAAAGGCAGCAGCAGGTCCTGCTGGTCGCCGTCTCGTCAATAAAGCGTCGTTGCAACCAACCAAGAAGGCTCCTGCTGTGAAGGCACCGACCCCGAGCCCGCCAAAGCCCGCCAAGCGGCGTCTAATTCAGGGACTGAAACGGCGTGGAACTCCCTCGCCTCAAAAACCACAGCCAGATCTTCCGGAGCCCCCGTCGAGCGATGACCCCCTCATCATTGACCTCGTCGATGATGATGATGATAAGGAGGATGCATACGAGGCTGAGCAGTCACCTTCTTCGGACGATGAGAGCGACGATCGAGTGTTGAAATGCATAAATTCAAGTACATCAAAGGAGTTGGCAGCGATGACTGGCATGAAAGAGGCTCTCCTTGAGACTATCACAGCCAAGCGTCCGTTCCAAACGATCTCGCAGGTCCGGCAAGTTTGCCTGGCTAAGAAGCCTGGCGCTCGCAAGTCCTCCAAGGTCAACGTTGGAGATAGCGCCGTTGATGCTATTGAAGTGTTCCTTGACGCTGTGTCTGCCATTGATAAGGTGGTGGCCAAGTGTGAATCGCAAGCCAAAATGGTAAAGGGGGTGATGGAGAACTGGGAACTAGACACCTTCGGGCATAACAAACGAAGCGGCCGAAACTCCCCTTTGGCTGACGACCTCCCACCAACGCCAACAAGCGCAACATCTCACCAATATGTCAGACCCCCCGTGCCAAGTCAACCGGGTCTCATGTCGACCAACTGTCAGATGAAACCTTTCCAGCTGTTTGGTCTCAACTGGATGTCGTTACTTCACACCTATGGCATTGGCTGTATTCTTGCCGACGAGATGGGTCTTGGAAAAACCTGCCAGGTTATCTCGCTTATGTGCCATCTTGTTGAGAGTTACGAAAATGACAACAGTAGCCATGATGCCCGGCCGTGGCCAAACTTGATTGTTGTACCACCAAGCACATACAATAACTGGCTGGCCGAGTTCAAGAAATTTGCTCCGTCCCTCAGCGTTGCCGGATACAGAGGATCACAATCTGAGCGTGCTGAGATTGCATATGAGGTGGAACAGGACCCGGAAGCCTATCACGTCGTTCTCGCAACATACTCGCAGATCAACTCATCAACCGATATTGAAGCCATGCGGGACTGTGATCTACACGCAGCCATATTTGACGAAGGACACAAGATGAAGAACCCAGAGACGAAGATTTACAAGGATTTGCGCCGGATTCCGTCAAAGTGGAAGATGCTTCTAACAGGTTAGTCACTATTACATTTATAGATATCTCACAATCATGAGTATTTACTGACTCGTCTCAAAGGAACACCTGTCCAAAACAACCTTCTGGAGATGACTGCTCTTCTAAGCTTCATCAATCCTGAGATTTTCGAAGGCCATATGGAATCAATCCGGTACATCTTCAGCACCAAGGTTAGCGTTCGAGACGTGAGCAACGGTGCTTTCCTCTACAGCGAGCGCGTCAAGCGTGCTCGCACAATTCTCGAGCCGTTCATTCTACAACGGCGGAAGGATCAGGTCTTATCCGACATGCCCCAAAAGACCTGTACGGTTATTCATTGCGACATGCCCAAAGGTCAAAAACCAATTTACGATGAGTACGAAGAAACGTTCAGGATGGAACCCTCACAGCGAGCGGTGAAATCCAAGGGTCGACAGAACGATCAGAACAACATCTGGATGCAGCTTCGGAAAGCAGCAATCCACCCTCTTCTATTCCGTCGACACTTCACGGATAAGTCGGTGGAAGAGATGGGTAGCATATTGATGGATAGACTCTCACAGGAGGAGCTGCACCAGCCAGACCTCAAACACCTTATCCAGGAACTTAAGAACTCCTCTGATTTTGAGCTGCACCTGTGGTGCCGTGACTATCCTCGCCTGCTCAAAAAGTTCGATTACCCGCCAGAAGCGGAACTCGAGAGCGGCAAGGTCCAGAAACTCCTCGAGCTCATTGACCAGTACCAAAAGAACGGGGACCGAGTCCTGGTCTTCAGCAAATTCTCCCGGGTCATTGAGATTCTCCGAGAGGTTCTATCTACAAAGGACGTCGACCATCGCGTTCTCATGGGCAACACGAACGTTTCAGAACGGCAAACCATGATCGACGAGTTCAACCGGGACGAGACCATCCCCGTCTTCCTACTGACGACCGGCGCAGGAGGAACCGGCATCAACCTCACGTCGGCCAACAAGGTCATCATCTTTGACCAGTCCGACAACCCCCAGGACGACATCCAGGCCGAGAACCGCGCCCACCGCCTCGGGCAGAAGCGGGACGTCGAGATCATCCGCCTCATAGCGAGGCACACGATCGAGGAGCTCGTCCTCAAAGCCTGTCAGAAGAAGATTGAGCTCGCCAACAAGGTCACGGGAGCCGTCGAGGAGGTCGACCAGGAAGCCGCCTCGGAGAATCTTGAAAAGGAGGTGCGCAAGATGATGGAAGAACAGATGACCCCGCCATAGGATGGTTACTCAGAACCGTCGCTGTTCTTTTATCCTTGACTCCAATTCAATTTGATCGTTTTGTCCAAAAAAAAGGGGGGGAGAAGCAACAACTCCCCGACGAGACTCTCTCTCGTACAATTAACGTCACACCATAGATTTTTACAATTCCCGGTCACTATTTTAATGAGCGCGCGGGGACGGAAACGCATAGACGGGGGCAGAGCAGGGTGCGGTGATTGTTTTTTTGTTAGACTCATACAAAGCTTTGTTTGCTTTTTCGCAATT